TTTCTAAATCTTTGATTGAATAACATAGGATTTGGAAAGAGATTTTAAAATCACAATTTGAATAACAGGTGATTTTAAGAAAATCCCAAAAATTTCTAAATTCCTTGTTAAAATCCTTGTTCCAATAAATCCTCTGTTTCAAAATAATTGATTTTTCAGAGTTTTTACACATATTAAGAAAACATATTAAAAGTTGATTAGAAATGTATCATTTTTTGTGATTTACAATTTTCTATAATTCTATACCAATGATATTCAATTATTTTTTCTTGAGGTTTACAATTCATCTATAATAACTTATGAATATTGCATAGAAAACCTAAAACAATATCTTTTGAAACAAATTTGTTATCTAGAAAATCTATTATTTAGAATTAGAGGGAGTATATAATAATATAATTGTTTTGTTTTTTCGTTTTTTTAATTTTTTGGATGGTTTTTGTCTCTTTTAAAAATACTTTTTTTATTAATTTTCTAAATAATTTTAGTTTCAAAATATTTTCTTCTATAACAAAAATTTGAAAATGTGTGAATTATCTATACTATTAATTGGGAATCACTCAAAATTAAATAACCTTGTAAAAGGTAAAATATTACATATGATGCCATTGGTTTTTAAATTTAAAGAAGGAGAAAAAAAATAGCAACCATATTAGTGATATTAATAACAATTATATTAATTCCAAGATTTTGCAAATATTACAACCATAAATTTCGGATACATTAATAAACTCATATACAATCATTAATTTATTATCATTAAAGAAACAACCATTTATAGAAATTAATAATCATCATAATATGGTTAAAAAAATCAAAAATTGTTTTTAAATGAATCCAATAATAATTTATATATAAAATCCTATATTATTAGAATTCATATAAAATAAACTATGCAAATCATACCATAAAATTACCTAATAAATATCACTAAACGTTTTCAATCTTTATAAATCTCGATTTTTTCAAATCTTACTACAAATAAATAACAAAAACTATATATATGACCTTAAAATATATAAAATCCGAAAATCTAATTTATTGCCTAAAATTCAGGATTTAGGGAAAAAATAAGTTATTAATAGTTTGAAAAATCGGCAAGATAATTAATTCAAACTGATTTAATTAGTATGAATTAATTGAATTAATTTAGGAAAAACATATTATTGGATTTGTTATTTTCAAAATTCTTTGAGAGCATTGTTTAAAATTAAATAATGATTTGAAATTTAACGAAACTTATATTCTATATTCTATTAATATGATGTTAATACTAAAATTGATTTCTTAATATATCTTTAAACCAATATATTGATGATAGAAAAAAAAAAAGAAATATAAATATGTTGTCATTAAATTCAAAAATACAAAATATTTAAATTGAATTAAAATTTGAAATAAGAATAAATAATCAATTAAGATATTAAATCATTTTCTAAAATTCATAATAGGTAAAGGTAAACCTAATTTTTCTCATTAACTTCATCTCTCCCTATAAATATATAAACTTAGACTCACAAAAATTCATTAGCCCACCATTCCAAATGTAAGTCATAACTAATTAAATTTTGGTCTCTATTTATAAATTTCACTTTTGGATACATTTCTTTTAACTGTGTAATGATAATTACAAATAGAACATTGTACTCTCATTTTCGTTATGTTTCTACACCTTATAAATTAACTAAATAGGTTTGTCGAGCCATTGCTTAGCTTCTACTGAGTTGGGTCAAAAGACAGTCATACTCAGTTTATGAATATGATCCAACAATATCAGGGGAGAATATAAGCAAATAGATTTTTATAAGCACTTGATTCCACTTTTGTAATGGGTGAGTTATATAGAAAAGAAACCAAATATTTTAATTGAGTTAGTACACTACTTGATGCTAATGAACTTTGTTCTTTCCTACATGCTGCTCATATTTTATACGTTTGACGTACGCAAACGAAATACTATAAAAGTGATAAAAATAGTTCATATGTCTAAGTTTGAACTTATTAATAGATAATCCAAACAGAAAAAATCATGTTACTACAGTTTGAAAAAAGATAATTAAACCAAATAGAATAATAGTTATATAGAAAAGAAACCAAATATTTTAATTGAGTTAGTACACTACTTGATGCTAATGAACTTTGTTCTTTCCTACATTCTGCTCATATTTTATACGTTTGACGTACGCAAACGAAATACTTAAAAAGTGATAAAAATAGTTCATATGTCTAAGTTTGAACTTATTAATAGATAATCCAAACAGAAAAAATCATGTTACTACAGTTTGAAAAAAGATAATTAAACCAAATAGAATAATAGTTGGATTAGTATTTGCTGTTTTTATTATTTTATGTGTTTGAGTCTTTACAACCATGAAGCTTTTTTTTTTTTGACAGCTCATGAAGCTTTACAACCATTAAGCTTTTTTAACTAGAGAAAACAAAACATTTTTTATAGACCGCGGGTAAATAAGGTTTTTGTGTAGTGTTCTATAAGTATGAATTAGAAATTTTCTTTCCTGAGTTTGTCAAATTATGAATATTATACCAAATAAATAAGTGTTCAAATATAACCTGCACCAGCGTTTTAAACAATTAGAGAATGTTTAACAAAAAAAAAAAATTGGATAGATTCTATTTATTTGTAAAAATTAAATCTCGAAAGGAAAAGTAAGAAAAATACGGGTATTCCATCTAGATCTCTTACCCATTCTCTTCTCTGTTGAACTAAATTAAACATTCTCATATTGGTAATTATTTTAAAGGAAACAGTTATGTGACGAGAAATTTTAAGATATGCAACGAGACGGGACGGGACGACACTACTTTCTCTCATTGTCTTATCTATATTGAATTAAATTTTATTAAAAAACATTTTTAAGAATATTAAATCCCGCACGTACGTGCGGGTCAGGATCTAGTATTGTGTATAAAGGATTAAATTGTGAAATAGAGTAATAAAGTTTATAGTGTTGAAAACAATGCAAATATAAGTGCCGAAAGCTTAAAATTAATTTTGGAGTATGATGTATTAATGGTTTGAATATTAAAAAAATATGGATTAATAATGGTTTGAAAAAATATTGTAAGACATAGTGTTAAATTATTTTTAAAAAATCTCCAAATATAAAAAAGGTATGAATTAAAAATATGAAATGTTTTACTTTGGTTTGTGTTCATAGGTATCGTTTTATCCCGCCATTGATAGGAGCCTTCTTCTATGTCGAAATTATCACATCTCCTACTATCTTTTGACTCATTACACACAAACGGTATACATAATGAAACATTTATGCAATCACATAGTTAACAAGTTAAGATCTCACCCTCTAACAATCACAATAGTAAAACAAAACCGAAAATTTTAAAAATCTATCAAGAAGCTATATTATATCTTATATGCAAAATAAACTCTAGTTTATAAGAGAAGGGTATAAGATTTTCCTATAAATAATTACATTTTTTCGACAACATTAGCAAGTGGGTGTTGGTTAAGCAGAGCTTGGCATGCTCATTCACCGCAAGATGAACGGATCTCTCAAGGATCCCCTTTTTGACTCTACGTTTCCTCTGCCTAATGCAGAGGTAATTGCTTTGAAGACTGTTCTCAGCCACAATTTTGGGCGTGTATCACGGCTGGCATGTGTATCATGGACATGTTTGGGACATTAGTTCCATTTTGCATCGCTTTATTTCAGTTTCCAACCATCATGTATCGCGTGTTGCCAATATTTTAACGGATTCCTTGGTGGATTCTGTTCTTTTAATTTATTTTGTAATGCTTGCTCATTCAATGGAGTTTGAGGCGCTTTGACCAATAAAAACGACCAAACCCTCAAAATTTTGTGAAAAAATTAGGTTATCGTAAGAATTTAACACTTATCGTATTAAGGTATGATATATTTTTATATTTTAAAAGGGTACATATTATCTACAAACCCCACAAACAACGTCCGTTAAAGCAAAAATATATCTTCATCCGATATAATTAGTTAATTTAACACTCATATTCATACAGTTGCATTTATATAAGATATAATCATAAATTTGATCATGAAACCATATTGTAAGTCGGATTATTATGAGTAACTCACACTCTTTGTTTCTTTTAAAATCTACAACATGAATTAACCTCACATAATTTTTCCAATTAATTATTTTATTAAAATTAAATATCACAAATTTTTTTAAAAATTATGATGATCCGTCGCCACATCACGTTATAGTGTTTTCGATCATTAACATTTGTTGGTTTAAATATTTATATCTTTCGTATAAGAACCGGATAATATTATAACAGTAGCTTGTCTCTGCGTGAGTAATGCACTACTCTCATAGAAACAAGAGATTTTGGTTACCATAAAAAAATAAAAAATAAAAGAAGAAGAGATTTTGATCTTTTTTCGCCATAACCTAATCAAAAATTTATATAAAACCTAAACCACCAAAATCGGATTAAGTCTGAAGAAATTAATATACTAGTGATCATTTTTATAAAAAAAAACATAAAGAGAACAAGGCCATAATAACCTCCTCATTACTATATGGTTACATACTTTAAGAAGAAAATTAATTTTGTTAGTCCGTATATTTCCCTTTTTTGGCTTCTCCAACAAGGCATTTGTGCGGTCCGTAAATTTTGAATATGACAGAAGTTTGCATTTTAAGAAGATATATCTTTATAGAAAGATTTGACTAATTTTTAATTAAATATGATAAAAAACAAATTAATTTCTTAAAACTTTTATGTCTTAAAATACCTTTTTAATTATAATTTATATCTTTGTAGAACTAATTACAAATAAAAAACAATAATTATATCTAGAAAACAAAACAAAAAGGGTAAAAGCCCAATCGTTGCATCGATCCTCACGCCCCTCTCTCCCTTGAAGGTGATTCTCAGATCTATCGTTTCCGCCTCTATTTGATCTCCATCGAAGGTTTGTGTCTTCTTGTTTGTGATCCAGGATAGAACAAAAGCGCAAGGATTAAAACTCGCTGATATGGTGCGTCGAAGGAAAGCAATCGCAATCAAAAAGCCGGACTCTTCCAGCGGTGGTTTTCAATTTTTCGAGGCAACCGAGAAGCTGGGTATCTGCGATTCTGGAATCGTAAAAATGGATCGGACCATGTTGATGGTCGATGGCAAGGTGATCAGAGCCTTAGATTCGGCAGACTCAATATACCCAGCTTATTAGTTGCCTCGGAAAATCGAAAACCATTGCTGGAAGAGTATGGTTTTCTGACAACGATCTCTTTCCTCCGACACACTAGATCCGCCAGTTTTCTTCCTTGGGATTTTGTTCCATCCTGGATCACAAACAAGAAGACAAAAACCTTCGATGAAGATCAAACAGAAGCGGAAAAGGTAGATATGAGAATCGCCTTCAAGGGAGAGAGAGGTACGATGATCGATATGAGAATCGCCTTCAAGGGAGAGAGAGGCACGAGGATCGATGCAATGATTGGGCTTTTACCTTTTTGTGTTTTTTTTTTCTAGATATAATTATTGTTTTTTTTTTTGTAATTAATTCTACGAAGATACTCATTCTAACAAAAAAAAGTTTTGTTTAAGATATAGATGTTTTAAGAAATTAATTTTTTTTTTATCATATTTAGTTAAAAATTAGTCTAATCTTTCTACAAAGATATATCTTCTTAAACTGCAAACTTCTGAAGTCATATTCAAAATAGACTGCAAAAAAAAAAGAGATTTCTTTGCATAGTTTATGAAATGTCACATATCTATTGCTAAAGAAATTTCAATTTTTTTTTGCAGTCTTAATTTTATGAAATTATAAACTGATATTGTTTCTTTGTTTATTTCAATTTCCAATAGGTCGTATTCACATGCAACTCAAGACCAGAGTTTATGCACATGGTCAAGTTGGTGCCACTGCTTCTGTCTACACGGATTCAATCCTAGAATAGCTAACTGCAGAAGTTCTTTAGTTAGCTGGAAATGTGAGCAAAGATCTGAAAGTGAAGAGGATTACTCCAAGGCATTTGCAGTTGGCGATCAGAGGAGATGAGGAGCTTGTGACACTCATCAAAGGAACAATTGCTGGAGGAGGTGTACTGCCTCACATCCACATGTCTCATCAACAAACCCACCAAGGAGTGATTTGTTTCTTAAGTCAAATGATATGATGTGATTTGTTAGTTAAGTTGCTTATGATTTAAAAATAAGTGTCAATCTCCTTTGACACCTCTAAATGTGTAATTGCAATACTACGATACTAAATTACATTCTACGAAGTAAATCTAAAAACATCAAAAATTTATGTCATATAATTTTAATGCTAAAAATTTAAAAAAACTTCAATGTTGCTAAGTAAAGAAATAAAATATAAGGGATTATTGTTTAAAATGCCCTTTTTTGGGAAAAACTTACGAAAATGCCCTTTTTTGAATAGTTTACGGATTTTGCCCTTTTTAACACTTAAAAATGTACGTATTTAGGATTTTTTTTTCCAAAAATACTTACTTTATACCAAATACTAAACCCTAAGAACAAATGGAACCGACTAAACCCAAACATAACGAGTGAAACGCATGTTAAATCATATTTTTGGAGCATGAAAAGGGCAAAATGCATAAACTATTCAAAAAAGGGCAAAATCCACAAATGCCCTTATGAAAAAGGACAAAATCCGTAATTTATTCAAAATATAATCCCGCGGAGTATCTCGGGTTAAATCCTAATGAGCTAGTAAAATGAGATCTTCATTTCCACCATTCTGGCCTTCGGATTCTGCTGCATCTTCAACAAGACGAAAAAACACAAACACCATAAGCTACTTAACTAGAAAATAACATCATCATATCATTTAACTTAAGAAACAAATCACTTCTTTCTGGTTTTGTTGATGAGATACTTGTGGATGTTAGGGACAATACCTCATCCACCAATTGTTCATTTGATGATTGTGTCAAGCTCCTTATCTCATGTGATCGCCAAATGCAGATGTCTTGGAGTAATCATCTTCACTTTCAGATCTTTGCTCGCGTTTCCAGCTAACACAAGAACCTATGCAGTTAGACACTCTAGGATTGAAGCCGTGTAGACAGCAACAGTAGCACCAAGTCGACCATGTGCAGATACTCTGGTCCTGAGTTGCATGTGAATACGACCCATCAAAAACTGAAGTACACAAAGAAATTTCATGTCTTTTTGTACTCTAATTTTATGAAATTTCACACTGATACTGTTTCTTTGTTTATTTTAGTTTCCAGTGGGTCGTATTCACAGGCAACTCAAGACCATAGTTTCTGCACATGGTAGAGTTGGTGCCAATGCTGATGTCTACACGGCTTCAATCCTTGAATACCTAAAGGTTCTTGAGTTGGCTGGAAACGCGAGCAAAGATCTGAAAGTGAAGAGGATAACTCCATGGCATTTGCAGTTGGCGATCAGAGGAGATGAGGAGCTTGACACACTCATCAAAGGAACAATTGCTGGAGGAGGTGTGATCCCTCACACCCACTAGTCTCTCATCAGCAAAACCACCAATGAGTGATTTGTTTCTTAGACAAATGATATGGTGTAACTTGCTAGTTAAGTAGCTTATGGTTTTTGTGTTTCTTTAGTCTTGGATCGGAGAAGTAGTTTAAGTGCTAAGTCTTAAGATGCTTCTCTCTATATAACAAATATCTGAGAAGAAAAAAAGATAGGAATGGAAATACATACCCATCCAAGTAAAATGTACAATGGAGAACTCCTCTTAGTTTTCATCATCAGCTCCTAATTAGTTGATGCAAATTTATGTCCTCAGTGTAGGGACATGAACCTAGAAATAATGAGTTAATTACATTTACTCCTTCTCAAAAGTTTGGAAGCTCACTTCTTGAGATTCATCTCCTTCCTTTCAAACATCATAATTTTACGTCTCATCTCGTAGATGATAGGAGAAGTCCTTTGCTCCTTGAGTTGGGGTGCTATACAATTCACAGTGACATGCAATCCATGTGGCTCCTTAAAACCTAAACCATGCATGCACAACCAGTGGACCATCTTCATATTCGTGAATGACTAAAATCTCTTCCCTGATGCAAACTCGTGCGTAAAATTGTATTGACTTCCAGGTTTAGTTAAAGTTTCATTGTTATTAATAAGCCGTATAGGCCTAAAGTTGTATGGAATTTTATTGAGTTATGATATCTTATTAGATAAAGGTGAGTTATGATATCTTATCCTACCCGAAAAAAGAAATAAAATTTTACTAATCTTATTACTTAAAGTTTCAGCACTCTTAATAGAGCTTGTCATATTGCAAAACTGTATTTCACGAATATGACAAATTTCAATTAATTAATTAGATTTTAATACGTGTTTTAATATTTTTCAGTTTTGAAACTGAAATATGTTTATCCTTTTATTTTTTTAACAGAAACAAAACAAATGATATTGAAATACATATCTACGTAAATTAAAATATGTAGTATCAACATGAATGGTACATTAATTGTAGTCGTCATATTTGAGTAAGACATTTAAGACAAGTTAATGAATCCAAAGTTTAGCTTACATAGTATAGTAGTTTAGTAGATATTTTTTTTTAAATGTATAGGTGCTTTAGGGATATTTAGATAGAGTATATAAATTGAGATGAGAGTTACAACTTTAAACTAACAAATGTATTTTGACTTATCGTTGGTTAAGTTTTAAAATAAAAATTTTAAAATTTTAAATTACGAAATCTTTATATATATAATCAACTAATAATTTTTATACAATCTAAAAGAAACAAAAAAAAACATAATTGGGGGTTTCAAACCCAAATATATGATAAGATTTACAGTTGGTTCAATTGAAATTCAATATGATATTTGTACAGTGGCAAAAAATTACTACTTTTTTTTTATAAAATAATCATTTATCGATTAACCCGTGTATAATTAACACACATCTAATCTAATTGATTAATAAAGTTGAGATTGTTGTCATAATCACTTTTAGAAATCAAACTAACATTTAAAAGACATGAATTTTTATCAAATCAATAGAGGTCCTATATCAACAAAACAAAAAAAACAAAAAAAGTTCTTTATAACCCATTTGAGCTAATGTTATGCTAATAAAAAGTCTCAAATAAACAAAACAAAAATAAAAAAAAACAACAAAACAAAAAAAAAGACAAGACGTACCGTACCGTTGACACAATGCATCCGTGCATGACTTATGTCAATTTTTCCTGACAAAGCTCGTTGTGTCTGTGTACTTTCCTAACAGATCTATACAGTAATTAACAACATATCTATTAAGAATAAAAACACATAAAACAAAGAATAAAAACCAATAGTTTAAGACAAGTATATATTATATTGGATAGAAATTTGATATTGTCTTACCTGAAATTGATTCCTTCTTCCCGTACAAAGGCAGATCTAACGTTGCCACACTGCCGATTACAACGAGAGCTACAAGAGTGCATCTGGGTATTTGGTTTACGCTTTATCTCCTAGCACTCAGATTCTGCTTCATCGATCTTCAACAATGGATCAGAGAAGTTTTTGCCTCTATGGGGGCGGCTAGGTTCTTGTGTTTTGAAAAGGTTCTCTAAGACTTGCTATGCTTCAATATATATATATATATATATATATATATATATATATATATATATATATATAGAAGAAATAAAAGGTGTAATATTTGGATATGTATGAATTAACTGTGATACCAAAAACAAAAAAAATTCAGTTGTGAAATAGATTAATAAATTTTCTAGTGGTGAATTCTACAAAATCCAGATTGTGTGTTAAATGCTACCCTAAAGAAGAAGACTTCATACGCTTGGAGATTACTGTTACAAAGTCGAGATTTGCCAAGACAAGGTCTGTGATTCACTATTGGAGACAGTCGATGATCAACGCCAACGCTTGGTCCGATCCCTGGTTGCCTTCACATCCACCAAAACTGCGACGACCTCGTAATCCAACTGTTGGAAATTATGTGGTGAATGCCACAGGAAACAGCTGGAACGAAACAAAAATTAGATAAGCAGTTGCAAAGGAAGATGTCGAAGAAATCTTAGCAATCAAGCTCAACCGCAATTCCAAAAATTAGCACTATGGATCCTTGGGAGACTATGGAAGAGTAGGAATTTACAAGTGTCAACGAAAGAGTCTATTCTCGGGAAATGTTCTGGCCAAGCATAAATGAAAGAATGGGACTTTAATTTCATAGGAGTACATAAGCAACAACAATCCCATGACCAATGCGCAAAATCAATAAATAAGCAACAACATAAGCCATATATACGTTACGGTGAACCATAAGATTGGTTTGCTTTGAGTTTTCTTGCCCTCTTCCTCGCTATCTCATATTTTATGTTCTTGTTGTTTTAAAGTAGATTATTTATCTCGATCCTCTAGATTGTTATTTTCTGATATTGTATTTATAGATTTTTTTCCTTCAGATTAGGCTACCATGTAAATTTTTAGTTAATGTATGGTTGACAAAAAATAATAATTATAAATTAAAAATAGCACATACATCACTTTGGTTTAGGGTTCATTTGTATTGTTTAATCTCGTCATTGATTGCAGCCGTTTTCTATGACGAAATTATTTATTACTTTTCCGTACTATTTTTGATTGATTACATGCAAGCAGAACACATATAGTAAATCCTATTCTGCAGTGATTCAATTTATGCCCTCACATACTATATAAGAGTATAAATATCGCCTTCTAAAATCACAAAATTTGAAGATAACTGAAAATATTGAAAATCTGTCTTGAAGCTATATTATATCTTATATGTAAAATATAATATATATTATTATAGATTTTTATTTTAGTTTTCAAAAGAAAATCTATATTTTAAAAATTAAATATCCAACGTTCCACTGCGGTTAGAATTTTTTAGATAAAAAAAAATATTAGTTTCATTATTCATCTTGAATCTAGCACTAACATTAATATATACTATATTAATTTCTATCTGTATTGTTTTCATAATAAATATATATATATATATTAATGGTTCATGCTGGTTCAATGATGATGTTTCATTTTCATAGAAGCTATCTACTGGGTTTCATGAAGTCAAGTAGATGTATCTTAGCATCTTCATCAACAATGCTTTTAGTAAATCTTAGTATCTACGATTTTTTTGTTAAAAAATCTTTATATATTTGGTATGTATATATATTTAAATATAGTTAGTGGACTCGAGGACTTAATTACCTTAAATTGACAAAATGAATTGACAGTTGTATATTTCGTGATCATCTTCTTTTTTGGCCAATCTCCTTTCTTTTTGTAACATGATCAGAATAGTCAATAATTTTGTCAAATGTAAACATATACTGTTGTTTTTTTTTTCTTAAATAACAAAAACCAACTATTAGCATAATATTATTAATAAATGGTATGATGGTTTTATCCATCACAAGAATGTGAACATATTAGTAAATATTATGGATTTCTCGATAGTATAACAATATTAGTGCTAGTCTTCATGGTTTTAACGTAGTGTAATAACAAAGAACTAAAAAAATATTCAATTTTTACATGTTACAAACATCACAATAATTTCACAATCTAGCATTTGAGTCTGGAATTCGAGTATGTTCTCCTCCTATGACAAAGAAAACGCACACAATATAATGAATTCACAAATATATTCAGCATCGACTAGAGTTGTAAATAGCTTATAAGGTGATAGGTTCTTAATGCTCAATATATGTATACAGAAGAAATAAAAGGTGTAAACCCTAATTGTACTTTTTTGGACAATAAATAATCTAAAATTTTATCATTTTGTCAATCTGAACTCTTTATTTCAACAAATGTGATATATTGATTTAATTTTTCAAAATAAATAAATAAAATTTACTTTCTAATAATTTTCCAAGACTATTTTAATTTTAAAATATTTCTTTCTATATATAACATACTATTTGACAATGTATGAATTAACTGTGATACAAAAATAAACTCCGTTGTGAAAGAGAGTAACACTAAGTTCTGTTCTAAAATTATTATCACTAGTTTATTTTTGCAATAATACCACAATTTTATATAAACACTATTCAACAAAAATAAATTAGAAATAAATTTAAAACATTATATATGGGTTCTTTATTTCCAATTTAGGGTATGTATTTACACCATTTAAAAGAGAAATTGATTCATTTTAATATTGAATTGGTGTTATTTTCACTAGAAGAATATTGACTTTTAATAGCATCCGAAAAACGTTATCTAAAGATACCATAGCGTTTTGATAAACGCGGTGTCTGCGCCCGTGATTAAAAGTCCCTCATTTTAGATAGCGTTTTTCGGATGCTATTAAAATATTATTTTTAATAGCGTTTCCGCTCAGTTTAGATAACGTTTTTACACAGCTATTAAATATTTTATAATAGCGTTTTAGAACTGTTATTAATGATATTATTAACAGCGTTTTATAATTGTTATCTCTAATAATACTATAGCATATAAATAAATGCAATTGTTTCATATATTCTGTAATAAACACTAATTATATATATAAAAAGAATATAAATGAGAGAAAATAATTCATTAATAATAAAAACCAAATACATAAGTTTTACATGCATATTAAACAGTACTAAGATAACAAGTCTAAAGTACTAAGATAACAAGTTTAAAGTAGTAAGATAACAAGTTTCAAAGATGTCTCTCACTCACAGCATTATAATCTTCTCATTAGGCCAAGCCACAAATGTTCCTCCTGCATCAGCTATTGTTTCAAATTCAGGACTTGCTCTCCACACTCGTGCATCATTAACCTTCAGAATCTCTACCAAGACCTTGCTAGAATTGGGACCTAACGGTCTGCAATGGACCGTATCAGCTGGATCATTGGAAGACACACGACCTATTGCTACTCTCTGACAAGAATTTCCAATATCCATAAGAGCACACTTCGGTGTCCCACCTTTGCCGCTACTACCAGTGCTAGGACTACCACTCTAAAACCAAAATGACAAATATATTTAGTTTTTTCCTATCAAAAGGCATGGCAACATCAACACATCCAATACAGAAAAAACTTACCTTCTCTACTGATTTTGTAGTTGCTTCCTCCATTGGTGATTTCCTGTTTGCGTCTTCAGGTTGAACCTGTTGTTTTAACCTATCAAAAGGCCATGCAATGGTCTCATTGAGAGCATCAGCCATAAAGGGGATTTCAGTGGTTGGTCTCCATAGATAGGCATCAGGTTTAACCACCAACGTGATCTTAACAGTTGCAGCCTTTAGTCCTAGAGGCATACCATTAACCAATTGTGAAGGGTCAGTTGATATCAATATACCCTAAGCAATCACTTCATCATCTTCTCTCCAATACTCATAGATATCAACTAGTCCTACTTCTTCAGCAGGTTCCTAATGAATCATGCAACCTGTATTAGTAATCTAATCTATATTAATAAATAAAGGACTATAAAAGCAGTAGTAATTTACCTCAGACATCATAGTATCAGGAGGTTGCGTTGCGTCATCATCCAATATAATCTTCACAAAGGGCCATGCAACTTTCATTCCTATAGCTTGATGAAGAGAAACAATAGTTTGACTGAGTGGTCTCCAAAGAGATGCTGTTTTGTCTGATACCGAATTCACAAGCACAGCAGCTGCATTAGGACCTAATGGAATTCGACCAATCTTATATGTGTGTTCAGAGGAGCAGAATTCTCCTTCTCCAACAACCACATCCCCATCTAACTGCCAATTCAGTATCTGGCACCTAACTCCTCCTTTGCTAACATCACTTAAGTCAGATTTGGAACCATGATCAATCTGTTTGTAAGACAGACACAATATATAATCAAAACAAGCATGAAAGTTCATATATATTTTGAACAACAAGTGTGAAAACTTACCTTTTTACAAGCAATCTCAGAAACCACAATATGCAAATTTTCATACTTGCTTTTTAAATCAGTGTAACTAGCTTCAAGCTGCCTAACATGTGAGTCTCTAGCCTTTAAAAAGTCCAACTTAGTAATAGTAGCGCCTCTACCCAACCCCCTAAGTCTTCCTGGTTGATTTCTTCTTCTTCATGTTGTGAGTTTTCTTCTGCTTCTTCATCAAGCATTTGATCATTTTCTGTGTCAAGTGATTCTCTTGCTTTCTCATTCTCTGCAGTTTTATCTCCATCCTTATCTACAGTATTCACTGCAGGCCCTGGTTTTTGTTTCTTTTTCTGTGTTAGTGACACTGCTGGACTCGCTTCAAGGCCTACTTGGCGCTTACTGCGACGGATTTTCCTGTTTGGTACAGTTTCCATTGTACTCAATTACCTGAAACACAATCAATTGCATAATTAGTTATCTACTAAAACACCTTCACAATCATTCCTAACACAGAAATTCTCATCATCAGAATCTTGGTCTCCTAAATCTTCATTTGTCTGGACTGATAATGTTGTAATAACAGATGCCACTTCTGTCTCTAACTCATGGTAGCCTCGTGCAGGAGCCCTCATGACAACATACCAAGGTGAGCAATCATCATCTCTAGAGTAGAAAATTTGTTTAGCTTGTGATGGCAGTATGAAAGGATCATTTAAGTATGATGACTGATTCTGATGGAGATTCACAAGTGTGAAACCATCTTCCACTTTGACTCCATTTCCTTTGTTAGCCCAATTACACCTAAACAGAGGAACCTGGAACATGTGGTAGTCAATCAATATGATCTCCTTGATTACTCCATAGAATGATACTATGTCTGCCTCATGTCTTGTATCTTTAGCACTGGCTCTACACATAGAAAATGCTTCATACATGACTCCACTATTCTGAGTCTTCCTCTTCACATCATCAGTGTGGAACCGATGGCCATTCACTATATACCCCTTGAATGTTTGAGCATTATGTCTAGGTCCAAAAGCAAGCCATCTCAGCCTAGTAGAATGGTTCTCCGAGTTACTTGATATCTAAAATAGGAAAACAGAAGAAAATAACACTTAAACATGAAAGAGACATAAATTTCAATACAAACACAATTCATATACTTATAACCTTTTCTTTGATCCACTTTGGGAACCTTTCTGTATGATACTGCCACAATATAGTTGAATTATTTGCACATTTTGCATTTGTAGCTTGCAATTCCTCCAAATGCATCCTTTTTTAAAAAATTAAGAATATATCTAATGTACATCAAAAAGAAACTGGAACAGATTATAAAATTAAACACTTACTCAACATATGGCTCCATGACTGCTGTATTCATGAGAATGTACCGATGAGCTATCTCTC